TGTTTATGTGGCAGGGTGTGTCACTCCTTCAGTGTGTGTGTGGCAGGGTCAGTGAATGTATGTCTGACAGGACAGCTCCACGTGTCACTGTCCTCCTCACCTCAGCGCCCCCGCCAGCACTAAAACAACACACTCTGCCTCCTGCTCTTCCCCTGGGCTGAACGAGAGAAGGAGAGAGAGAGAGATTTGAAAAAAGGTTAGGATTTCATTTAGACACACAAACACACAACACTACACACTCGCAAATGTCACTCCATGCCAGCAACAAAAAATATACACTATATGGCCAAAAGCACTGAACACACAAAGGGCTGCAACTAACACTTATTTTCATCATCATTTAATCTACCAACTTCTCCATTAATCCTTCGGCCTATGAAACATCAGAAAATGATGAAAAGTGCTTGTCACATGATGACCTCATTAAATGTCCAAATATTTAATTTAGTATAATATATATAAGACGTTGGATAATACGAACCTGGAAAAATCAAATGTATGGCATATTTCTTAAAAGATTACTTAAATTGATTATTAAATTATTTATCTTCTGTTGATCAACTAATCCTTGCAGCTCCAGACGCACACAAACATTATACACAAACGTGAGTGCTGAACATCTAGTTCCAAACCATGGGTAATTAATAAGCTGCTGTAATAGCATCCATTCCTCTGGGACGGCTTTCCTGGAACCTGGTTTTAAGGATTTGTTCCCATCAGCCAGAAGAGCATTAGTGAGAACTGGCACTGATGTTGGGCAATAAGGTCTGGCTCACAGTGGGTGTCCCAAATCATCAAAGAAAATGTAATTTGGTGAAAGATCAAAGTAAAAATCTTTCACTTTTACTGCTACTCACACACTTATCAAATATATTTTAACTTAATTACTCTACTATAGCTCTACAGGTCTCTAAAGTTGGAAAATATCACTGGTCACGATGAATAATATGTACGTGAAGCAAAAGTTTTATCCTTTTCTGTTAATATTATTTTATTTGTTGTCATGGGTGCAAACAGCCAGAGCAAAGCTAGGAACTAGCATTTGTAATCATTTATTCTTTTTGTTCCCTTTTCAGACAATTATGTATTTTTAATCTCTTATATTATATTTATATATTATAAAAAGATTATCTCATATTTTAATTGGAGTTAGAAACATTTCACACAAATAAAATTATCTTTAAAAAAATCAAGATCATATTGGTTTTGCAGAGCTTCATGCCACTGAGAAAATGTGAGATTTTTTTTTTTTTAAGAAAGAACAAAGGGCTGGAGCCATTAGTTAAGTCACTATGGTTGGCTCTTTCTCTTTGAGCATACATGTTGTCAATCATTAATCCCTTGCGAGCTAAAGGTTAAAGGTTACTCTTACACTTTACTGAAAAGAGCTAAGTGTACTTGGTTAATCTGTCTTATTCTTCACTTACAGTGAGGAACTTTTGTTCATTTAAGCATTAGAGCCCAATTAATACGCATTATTCTTAGAGGTTCGATAAATAAGCGGCCCAGGGATCTGTGCAGGCCAGTCAAATACTTCCACACCACACTAGAACAACATTTGTTTAAGGATGGCGTGTGCATTAGAGTGTTGTTGTGTCAAAAGGGATTTCCGTAAACTGTTGCACATTACTGTCTAAAATCCCTAAAGAGAGAAACACACAAAAGTATGTGGACAGATACTTTTGGCCATGTATTGTCACAGTGGTGTTATCAGTGCCAAGACTTACCAGTTGGATCATATTCTTGTTCTTTGGCTTGTAATACTGTGTGTAATCTCATGTTGCTGAAGCTAAATCATACTGTAAATCACTTTCCACTAACTGTAACACACTGCAGTAAATCAAACACCATATCCATGCTAAGAGAAAATGCATTTATAACACACAACCACCCAAACACACACTGAACCAAACCCTCACTTACAGACTCAACAAAAAGGCTACATCTCTCGCTGCAGAAACCTAAACAAGACTGAAAATGAAAGGAATCAAATGACCCAATCCCCATTCTCTGATCACATTCCTTTCTTATATGAATATACTTTTGCCCCTTTCATCCCTGAAATAAACACTGGGAGCAGCTCACTCTGAGAAAAAGAGGATTAGGTAAGTGAAAGCTGAGATGGTGCATGTGGGTGCAGGGCTGGAAATGTGAAGGGAGGCCAGCAGGAGTAAGAATGGTGAGAGGGAGAGGAATTAACAAAAAATACTATTAAAAAGACTAAACGGTGTGAGTTTAGACAGGTAGCAAATAATGTGTTGTTTTGAAAAGTGGGAAGTGAAATGTACCAGCATTTAGTCCAGATCAGCAACCGGGAGAACCATACTTTAAGTGGGATTGCAACAAAGACAAAGTGCAGATGGGCAGACAGAAAGAGGCCGGGTGAACGCCAAACAGAAAAAAGAGAAGTGGGAATGGCTAGAAGACAGACAGAATGAAAGAGACCGTATTTACCAGAACGGTAGGGGCCACTCAGCCAGTGGAAGTGGAGGAGAGATTGTGACTCTGAGCCCTGGGATTGGCTGCTTCTCTCTGGAAGTACTGCGAGGGTGCAGAGCCTAGCTTATGGGCCATCACTTTTTAGGGTTAGGGGGAGAGGGGGGGAGGTTGGGAATATTGAGGTGTAACGGAGGAGTTGGAGTAGGGTACACAAGGGAGAAAGGATTAAGGAAAAGATGAACATTGCGAAAGAAGGGAGAGCATGGGTACCAAGAAAGAGAAGGGGCAGTTTATCAGAACATGACAGAGAGGCAGCGGAAGCAGGAAGAAAGAGACACGCACAGGCTGAGACTGTGATAGAGACAGAAACACTGAAGTAAATCTAAGCAAATGTCAAAAAGCTACATCAGGTATGCAACAATGTATTGTGCTTCAGACAAAGATGCAACTTCAGTAATCTAACTGAGTGCTACCATTTATTCAGTAGTACAACTATCTTCGAAGTCTTAGCAACTTTCAACATCCAGCTGTTGAATTTATATGTACATTTCCACATTGTAATTACTGCAACTACAACTTAAATCTGCCAGCTTATATTCTTGATCATTGGTAGAATCTCTTTTAAGCACACAAATCCCCTTATTATTATTCACTATGAAAACTACAATTGTACTTAAGCACAGCAGAGCAATGCTATGCTAACATCATCACAGCAGTGACAATGGTAATATTTTGATTTAGTTCGTATAATGTTTACCATGTTCACCATCTTAGTGTAACTGCGTGCTAACCATTGCTTATTAGCACTAAATGGCTAATGGGAATGGCATTAGTTTTGAACATGTCTAGTCATAAGGGGTTGCCAAAGTAGTTACAATTCATCCTGAAGGGCACATATATGTTTGTACCAAAATTTCATCAATCTAACATTGGTCAAGACATTTCACTGAAAACCAGAAACATGAACTTAATAGTAGCACTTGACGAAAAGTCAGGCGATCTTTAAAGTCACTGGGATACAAATTCTGTGAACCATGAATGTTTGTATAAAATTTCATGGCTATCCATCAAATATTAGTTGAGATATTTCAACCTAGACCAAAGTGGTGGTCCGACATTGCTACCCCTGATAGCTTGGCAAAAAAGAAATCTCTTGTTCCCCCGTCACAGAGCATAGCAGTAACTGTTTCAAGCATTCAAAAATATGTGGGGTTTATAACAATACTTTAATGTGCTCTGCAGTGGCTGTTGGGAGTTGGGGATCTGTATGTAGTGGAAGCATGAGCCTGCCGATAGACTGAGACACCGTGTGTGACATGTATGACCACACAGTGACATGAGAGACGACATAAAGCAAACAGTTAGACGGAGAGAAAAAGAGGGAGAAGAGGTAGAGGACAGGGGAGCAAGACCTATTCATATCATATTCCCAGTGAGAATTCCTAATTTTCTCGTTTTCCCTTCTATTTTTCCATCTTGGAGAACTTACTTGACTCTGGGTAGACTGAGGATCTCTTCCCAGGATCTTTCTGGAGCTGAATGCCTTTTACAGAGAAGATGGATGCAGCTGAAAACAACAGAGGGTTGGTGAGACACTGTTGGTACACTACATGTGCATGTTCAACACGTCAGACTGTATGTACTCACTGTCTGCCAGTGTTTGAACCTGCTCCCCAAGGCTTCTGAAATACGATTGTCTGAGAGCCTCCTCAGCTGATACCCGCTTCTTAGCCTCAAACTTCAGACACAAAGAGACAAAGAGGGGATATAAAGACAGCACAGTCTAATCCAATGCATTGGGTGTACGTATATTAAAAGTATTCATCATTAAGAGTGATGTTCTTTACCTGTAGAAGCATTGCGAGCAACTCATGACCATCGCTGTCTATCCTGTATCAGAGAGAGCAAGAGAGAAAGTGAGAGAGAGGCAGGGAAAGAGACAGAAAGAGAGTCAGTGTGGTCAAATGCTGACCTAAGCCATATGGATAGTGTAGTGTTCCTGCCATTTCAACAGAGGCGGAAATGCTTGACCACAGTTCCTACTGAAAATCAATTCTTATCTTGTTACATCTAACGCATCACAGTGACTTGTCAGGTGACTATATGAACATTTTATTAAGTTTTGCTTGCTTTTACAGTAAGCAAAACCTGTTTCAGTGTTCATGTGGGTACCTCACTATTGTTGAAAGACAGACCTCCAAAGTTTCGACTCTATCCTTTACTCTACGCACACACATGCAGCCGTGGCTGTGTTCACATACACACCTGGGTGCGTGGTTGACAAGGGGCTCCGCTTGGTATCGAGGGAAATTGTACGTCTTAAACTCTTCACTGGTCGTTATACCAGACCAAGTCTCTTCTGTAGGAGTACCTGTTGAAGATACATTTCACATATGTTGAGTGTATACACACCCAAACACACAAAAGCATAAATGTTGAACAAGCTCGTCTGATTTTTTTCTCACCAAGGATGCGAAATATGAGGTGAAGCTCATCTTCCACAGTTGATCCAGGGAAGAGAGGTCTGCCAGTGATCATTTCATAAAAGATGCAGCCCACACCCCTGGACAAAGGGACAGAAACAGTGGAATAAGCAAACACAACTTACACCAAGTAGGTTGTGACTTTTGACATTAACACACTCGTTCAATAGACAACATTGTTCAATTCAAGCAAAGGAAATACAAACTGCTAATATAAAGGGAATCTCTACAAAACTATAGAAAACAAAAGTATGTAAGTTACACATATCATAAATTAAATACAAAGTGCTCAAGTGCTGAATAAAAATAGTGTCAAATGTTACTCCTTCAATGACACTAAAAACAAGACACATAACCCAAATAAAAACTATGGGTTCTGTCTAATAAAAAACAAGGGACTGATTATAAATCTATGTCCAGAAAGAAACCACAGTCATTTACAAAGTACCTCAAAATCTAAATGTGTTATATGACTAAATCCCCAAAACCAACACCAACAGTGACCATAGAAAAGTTTGGGGAATTGACAAAAGCAGGGGTAGTGTTATGCTTTTCTCTGAAAACGGTGTGTATTTGCTGTAGATGAGTGTGTTTGCTCACCACATATCAATGGGTGTAGAGTACTCAGTGGAGCCTAGAAGCACATCTGGCGGCCGGTACCATAATGTCACTACTTCATTGGAGTAAGTCTTTGTAGGAACAGACTTGGCTCGTGCCAAACCTTAATTCAAACACAAAAGATTATGTTAATGAATGTAAATATTGCTTCATTTATTTATTTGGTGTTGTGGGGTACATCAGGACTCTTAATACCAGATTAAAATTTCAGAAACACTTTTACACACTTTGTTATTACTTTACTAAAAATAAACTGTAAATTGTGTTAAAATGTTTTATGTCAGTGGACAATGTGATTCTTAATCCAGATTCCTGTTTTACCTGAGGAACAAAGAATTAATTAGTAATTTACAAAGATTATTTAGACAATAATATACTACTATGACTATGTACAACATTATGTCATGTTTTGATGATTACCTAAGGAGGGCAGTGTTGGGTGGTTAATCACTTCAAACTATGTTGTCCTGTTAGATCTAAGGCGCAGTATGGCCTTTAGGGGCCGCTAGTGGGGCAAGCAGGCTCTTGCTTCTGTTTTATAATGTATTTTTTTGTAAAAAAAAAAACAACATCTAATTGTATTGAATAGCCATGTAGGAATAAGGGCTACATTTAGAAATGAATGGTTAGTGGTCAAACCAATATAGGAAATTTCAAGATATACAAGACCTATGTGTGCTTCTAGTTAGTTAAGTGGTGATATACCAAAGTCTGCCAGTTTGAGCTCTCCTTTTTCATTGATGAGCAGGTTCTGGGGTTTGAGGTCTCTGTGGAGGACCTTCCTTTTGTGGCAGTACGCAAGACCTCGTAACAGCTGGAACAGGAATATCTGGAGAGTAGAGGAGAGGAGTATGGCTTATTGTTACAAACGTAAATATGTTAAACTCTTTTTTTAGTTTTTAATTATGTGGCATTATTACAACACAGTGATCAAAGGGCACAAAGACATTTTTAGATTTATCATTAGAAGTCAAGCTGCTACTATCTTAAGTAGGAATCAAGGCAAAATTGAAAAGATTACTCTTAATTTTAATAGTAGAAAATATAATTCAACAGCAATTCTTCCATAACTACAGATTTTCCCTCAGTACTGAACAGATGCATTACTTTACATTACCTTGACATTGTGAACACTCATGATGCTCCCACAGTCATCCATGTACTGCTTCAGATCTTTTTCCTGATGGGAGAGAAATAAAGAAAGCAAGCAAGCAAAAAAGAAAATTAGTACAATACGCCCTCTAGACACACACAACAAACATACAAACATACAAACATGCGACACTCACCAGGTACTCAAACACGAGTGTCAGGCACTTGTCAGTGTGGATAATGTCATGGAGAGTGACAATATTGGCGTGCTTCAAGTCTTTCAGTAGAGACACTAAAGGAGGGAGACATATCAGACACTGTCAGTCAAGCACAGAGAACCTGTGAGGAGAACTAAAACAGCTCAGGGAGATAAGCAACTACTGTAGGTAGATAATACAGATAAGCAACTACTGTAGGTTACAACAACACTATCAGAACCTTACAAGCTTCTTGACAATATGGTCAGCAGTTCAGTACCTTCCCTGATAGCTGTGCAGGGCGCACCCTCCTCATGCTCCAGCCGGATCTCTTTCAGAGCTACTAAGTTGTCTGTTAACTTGCTTCGCCCCTTAAACACTGTCGCGTAGGTCCCCTGCAGAGATAGAAAGCATGTGAATACACTGTGAAATAAAGCAAGCAAGTGTTTAAGGAGTATGTGCTCAGTGTCACGGTGGCTGATGTTCTTTATTGATCTCACCTCCCCTAGTTTGTCCAGTTTGATGTAGGTCTCAAGTTTCCCAAAGCCGATTTCAGACTAGAGAAGATGGAAAGAAGACAGTTCAGGAAGTTAGGCTAGGCCACTCCACTCCAGGCCACGGCTGTTAGTTCAGATTTCAGTCCCATTGCTATTGACATCTGGCCTACAACTGCAGGGGTCTGAATCACTAGCCATTACTATATATTGTGGTGTTGTGGTGTGTGTGTGTGCACCTGCACTAAAACATTAGCTTTGTTTCTCCAACACTTACAGTCTGTTACTGAGCATCTATGCTACATTCTATGATTCTGAGACAGTTCAGCACCATCAACACTTCAAATAGTAAGCAGCCATGTGCAAACAGCATCTGTATGATTTGATTGAATAAAAAATCCCTTAAGATCTTAGCTGGTTTAACCATTTTTACACTTATTTGATGCTGTTTTTATTGTTTGGCTCTTTTTAAGACAGGTGTTCACACATTTTTCTAAGGGGACCCTACATAAATTAAACTACTAGAAAATAAACTACTTCTGAGACACTGAACAAAGGTTATGTCGATGTTAATGTCTCTATCACCTGTGGAGACTGTATGTTATTTCATGGTTTAAACTTATGTTTGGTCAGATCTCTGACATTTATATCTCAGGTTCTGGTTGTCATTATCATAATCATTCAACACCAAATAAATTGCATTACACGTGCTTGTACAAACAGGAGGAAAGGAAAAGCTATGTTGGTCTAATCTGAACAAAATGTAATATCCCACAGTGCCTCCTCCCTTTTTTAATGCTACAAAGTGATGTCATTGTCAGCTGCACATATATTCTTTGGCCACAGGAAGTCAGTATAACAAAGACAACCAAATATGGCATACACTTAAATGGTGATTACATGTTTACTTCTAAATATTTCATAGATATCCAGCAGGCGCACTTCAAAACTGTGTGCATTCAGAATTAATTCTGAATTCAGTTAATAAAGGTTTATATGCATAATGTACGTGGCCCCTGGGTTTCAAGGTCATAAATTATAGATGGATGTAGCTATGTCAAGCTGTGATACCCACAGGGCTGCCAGTGTTTATCCCTCTCTGTCACTTTTCCACAATTATTTGTCTATCTCTGTCACTGTCTGAGCCATGCTTTATTTGTGTTCATCTCTCTGAAACTACCCATCTCCCTCAATCTAGTGCTGGCTCGTCCCATCATGTTGCCTATACGAACGCCAGGCCAATGCTCGGCTACGTGCATATATGTGTGCGTATGGGGTGGAGGGTCTCCAGTGACCAAGTTAGCTGATGAAGCATGTGATCTGTTTAAAGGCATGTCTAAAAGCCGACATCAGAATGAGCTCAGACACATGATGACACACTTACACACTGAAACAAGTTTGTACATGGGTATGTACAAATTGCAATTTGAATAATTAATTAAAAATCATATTTATGTTTTAAAATCAATATTAAGTTTTGTATCTGGTAATCTACAGTACTTTAAAATAATAAAAAGAAAGAAAGAAAATTAATAAAAAATTAATACAAATTGCATGGGCATGTACATACAGTATGTGCATGGGGGCATGTTCCGTGTGTGTGCTTGTAGGCAAGAGGATATTTGCAATGAGACATGCAGCCTATGCTCAGATGTAAACACACTCACCCTGCACACACACAGACACACACACAAACACACTGCTCCCATCTCTGTGTTTGTGACATGGGCTGTCAGGAGCTGTGGCTGAGCTGTACTGCTCTTTTGGCAGGGGAGTCAGTCTCATGAGCAAAACATACACACAGTGACACACAAAGAAATACAGAACAAACATATATTGTGACTACCCTTCCCCCACACCGACCCCAGTCCAGAAAATAAATCTGTAGCCTCTCGCCTTGTTGAACCAGCTCTCTGCTTATAGCATGCAACTGCACACACACCGTCTATGCACCTCAGAATCCTTTTAGTGTGTGTGTGTGTTTGTGCCTGCGTATGCTTTTGATGGCAATGGGTTCATTTCATTCCTAACGCTCCAGCAAGCTTACTCAGCAGAACTAGGTCAGACTAAGTTTTAGTGACAAAATTAAAGCAACATAAAACCAAACATAATGTGCGTGCGTCCTGTCTGAGCCTGTACAGGAACTGAGAAGACAAAGATAGATGGGCGGACAGCAGAAGGTAAAAATGTGAGAAGAGAGATGTCTGCAGCCCGGTTCTAATGTGGATTGAGAAGAGAGTCCATTACCTCGACCACATTTCACTTTTCAGTAGGGTCTCTCCTTGTGGTGACTGTAAGAAGGCTTGATGGGCAGAGAGAGGATGGATTGGGAGTATTGAGTGGGAGAGGGAAAATGACAGCCTTCTGCTACGAAAAAAGGTGGCAGGCAAGGGGAGGTGGGAGGTAAGAAAAGCCCTTTCATTAACATGATGTAGCCAGTCCTCAGGGCTTCAATCAATCAACCAATAAACACTGTGCACTGTGTCACCTCTTCCATGTTAAACCTGCTGATAGTAACAGACAAGGTTTGACCCAGAGCAGTAGACTAACACATGAGCTCAATTCTGATTTTTTTTTTGCCTTTTATCATTTAAAAACAAAAACGATAACCAAGAGGGGAAGGGCACATTAAATCGTGCATAACAGCCATTTTAAAATAGTAGCGTAAACATAGGTGTTGCCAATTATACAAATGTATGTTCTGTTCCATTTAGTGTGGCAGAGCCCTGACTCCGTTTGACCTGAATGGAACTGAACCTTTATTAGTATCATTGGTAATACCTGTGTTTACTCTACTATTTCATATTAAAATGGCGGCTGTGAAAAAGGTCTATTGGACATTCTGTTTTATAGTTAAGTTGAAATAAAGTTCAATTTCCTGTCACTGCAGGATTGAATGGGCTAGAAAAGAAGTGAGGTTAAGAGTTGGTGGTTTGAGATAAAATGACATCTCTTTCCTCAGTGCTATTCAACACTGAATCTCATTGGACTGCTGTGAATAATTGATTATCAATGGGCAACAGCTATGAAAGTAAACTGATACCAACCAACTTCACTTACATTACATTGGAAGCGATTCAAAGATCAGAATACATGGTTTCAAATGCAAGCATCAGTTAAGGGACACCCAACACATGTTCTGTGTTACGGTAACAAATGACAAGCTCACTGATAGTCAGAAAGCTGTTATATCGTTGTCCTCAGAAACATATTGTCATTTTTAAGCTTGCACTCATTCAGGTAAAGTGTGACTGAGGAAGCTCGTTCTTTTGTGACACAGCTATATATACACTAACATTTGGAGAGACTGAGGGGTTAAGACATTTATTTGCCATGCCATCCAACATTGTTCAACCTGGTCTTAATTTTGACCCATCAAACTTCTAGTCAGTTCCAGCTTCATGTGCTCAAACTGACGTAAGGGGCAGAGTTAGAATCTATGAGGAATGCATAGAAGTGGCGACCCAATTAACTCCAAGCCTCCAGCTCGGAGCAAAAGTTGGCCTGACACATACTAAGTGAAAGTTTTAACAGAGCAAATAGTTTACTGCAGTCAAAACTATATTTCTGCATGGGTGCACCACACTAAATAAAGACAATATGAGCTTTCTCTAATAAAGACAGTCTAGCTGTATTGTTTCCTACATGCACTCTGCAGGCTCAGCAAGGTGACCGAGATAAAATAAAGCCTTTCCTTTCCTGCTATTCAACCTGAATCGAAGTAAAGACTGGTTTTAAATTTCATCTCAGCAGCCAATTTGTCTTTTCTTACAGTGCAATCCTCTCCACATATTTGTTTATCCTTACAACTTACCATTTTTAAAATCATGTCTGCCTGTCCTTTCATTCCCTTAAAATTCTCTTGTCATCCCTCTCTGCATCTTTCCCTCTCTCTGCCTTGCTCTGTGGTTCACTTCAAGGTGTCCCAGTGTGTAATCCTCCTCAGGAGAGGAGCTGCAGCAGAGGAGTCTTACCCTGCTGCTGAATTATTGAGTGATATATTACATCACATCATCACATGCATACAACAACCCCTAAAGAAACACAGCCATACACAAGTGGACAGACCAAAGCTTGTCAGAAAATCTAGAGACAAAAACAGAGAAAAGTTTATCCCCTTGTTCTCATCCACCCTTACACTATAAACCTCTCTTCTTCCCTGCAAACCTCTCCTCAAAGATTCCTTCCTTTCATCTCTGTTAGACTCCTGCGGAAAAGCTGCGTCATTAAATCGCTTCAAGCCGAGAGCTGGAGGCAGGGCGCCGGCCCTGTTCAATAATTACAGCAAAAAATATTTAATGGAGGGTTAATTCTTTATGCTTTCCCACAGTATATCAAGGCTTTTTGTAATCGTGTTAAAATCGTGTAAAATATATAAGTAAGGCAGAATATATATGAATATAATATAAAAGAGCATGTAAGACAGAGTGGAACAGAAAACAGTGAAGTCTTGCTTTATTCAGTCATGTATGAATGGGAACTTGAAAAAAAAAGAGAAACAAAAGGGTAAATGTAAATAAAGTGTGACCAAAATAAAAAAACTAAATGAAAGAGCAGGAGTACTTCAGCAGCAATACACAGTGGCATAAAGGGACATGCTGCATATTCATGAATATCTGCCTATTTCTACCCATCACCCCCCTCTCTATCCATTCTGTAGCAAACACCTCCTCTCTCTCCCGCCCCCAGATTCATACTCATAACGCTCTTGGCCTGGATACATAATACAGAATGAATTTATCATTCATCCCCCTACTGAGCCATTGTAAGCTCTATAGCATAACTCATTGTGTGTTTAAAACTAGTCTATGTTTGTGTGTTTCCAGTGTTTGAGTGTGTCAGATGATTTAATGGCCTTAGTCAATCATTTAAGTTGTGCACAATGGCACTGAAAGTTCATATTGCTTTTGTTTCAAAACAAAGCAGCATCAAAAGAGCAGCACACACCCAGCTGTACTCACAAAAGTGCACATGCAGATGTTAAGTAGCAACCGATGCACCGCCAAAGCCAAAGTAGCTGACTAAAAAGTACTTTCAGCTGCTTTGCACATACATACACAGATGCAAATATACACACAGACACCATGATTACTGACCAATGAGGCACGTCGTAGCCTGCGGCTCATGGGCTTGTCAAAGGGTGGGCTGTTCATGGCAAACTTCTCCAAGTAGCCCTCCGGTAGCCTGATATCAGCTGGGAGAGACAGACGTTTGTTTATGTCCTGAAACAGAAAGAGGGATTCGGG